TCAACAGTCGATCAACTAGGCGATTACCGTAATACCAGTCAGGCATCTGCGAGTCGAAACATAGTGCGCCTTATGGAGTGCGCACCCTTTTTATGTGGCATCAAATAATGCTAGCATTCTTCTAAACATCTAAAATCGTCCATGCTGTCTAGACCCTCAGCTTAGGAAAGGTAAATGGAAAGGCAGCAACAAGCACACCAATTAGAAAACTGAAGCAAAAATACAAAACTAAAACTAAGTACTTCGAACAAAAAGCCGAAATGAAACAACAACAAGTAATCAGAGAAGTCAAGGAATACGAAAATACACAAATAACACTAACTCATTTACTAAAGATATTGTTATTGATAGGGACAACACTTGTCTACCTATCCTAACCCTTTACCTTTATTCTCAACCTTCACACCTTCTTATTCATGTTCATGTCCTCAGTGAGCTGGAGCAATACCATATCTTGCCTAATCACCTCTCCTTAATACTTCTTCGGCCTGCCTCTACCTCTCCTTAGACCCTCTAGGGTGAACCTCTCACACATCCTCACCGGTGCATCTGTGCCTCTCTTCTTCACATGCCCGAACCATCTAAGCCTCGCCTACCGCATCTTTTCCTCCACAAACACCATGCCCACCTTGTTCCGAGAAACTTAATTTCTAATTCTATCTAACCTGGTATGCCCGTACAACTATCTCAACATTCTCATTTCAGCCACCTTTATCTTTTGAACATGAGAGTTCTTGACTGGCCAACACTCTGTCCCATAAAACATAGTCGGTCTGACCACCACTCTATAAAACTTACCTTTAACTTTAGGTGGCACATTCTTATCACACATAACACCGAAAGTGAGCCTCCATTTCATCCACCCACCTCAATACAATGTGTAATATCCTCTTCGATCTCTCCATTCCCTTGTATAACTAAACCAAGGTATTTAAAACTTTTTATCCTAGGGATGACTTGAGAATCAAGCCTCACTTCTTCGTCCACAACCTGAGTCGCACCACTGAACTTGCATTCTAAGTATTTTGTCTTGATCCTGTGCAACTTGAAACCTTTAGACTCTAGGGGCTGCCTCCAAATCTCTAACCTCTCATTAGCACCGCCTCACGTCTCGTCAATCAGAATAATATTATCTGCAAATAACATGCACCACGACACCACGTCAAATAATGACGCCATTTACTAGCGCAAAACACAAAAATAAATTTGATGCTCGCTAGTTAAAGATAGTATAGTATAATTATCGTTTCCACATGGATTGGATTTAAACAATGTTCAAATAACTTATGAATTATTGAAATTTAGGATGATCAACACTTTGATTGGAATGATTATGAACTAAATTTAACTATTAAAATTAAAGCAATTTACAATTAATCACGGAAAGACAAGAGTTGAGCAACATAGAAATAACTAATGGGTGAAATAAGGGTAGCGTCAGGAGAGGTAACTATAGTTCAATTCACTTCTAATATTTTAATAATTCTCACTAATTAAGTCTATGATTAATTCAATGGCATAGTCAAGACTTCTCTCTCGATTAAATCTGAACTCTACGAGGTGAGCTAATATAAAGCACTGTGAAGGTATGCAAGAATACATTAATGGACTAATATTTAGGAAAACGTCTCTCGAATATTTTTCTAACTTGGTTTAATCAACAATTTAAAAATCTCTTTCGATTACTTAGAAAAATTACTAACTTAAACCAAACAAAATAATGCAAATATGATCACCCAAAATATTTTTCTTTCGATTAAATAATTTGGTGAACAAAATTGCAATCAAATCAAAGCTTCATAAACGAATTCATGCAAAGAACTAGAGTTAAAATCCCCAAATATCAATAAAAATATCATATCCGTCAAACCCTAAGGTAAACTACTCCATAATCATGGAGAAAGTCATCACAATAAAGTTGAACAAGAAAACATGAATTTAATCCAAACTCAAGTGTTGATTTGAGGAAAGAATGACGAATCCTTGTGCCTTAGAATCTCCAATGCTCTCCAAATCTTCCGTAGCTCAAAAGTCCTTTCAAAATCTTGTTTGGTGTATTTATACCATATATGAGCGGGCCCGGATGAAACTACTGTTTCCATGCCGACGTGGAAAAATTGGACAACAAAAATACACTGGTGCGGAGCGCCCTACGTCGCTGATAAGTATGGATTCTAACCACTTATTAGTACCTTCTTGCTTTAGTTTTTAGTCCGAAAGTAGTGATTTTTATCTCTGAATCTAATGAAAATGTGTGAATTACAGGTGTGCTGAAGAATGCGAGCTCAACAAAGAAATCTAACTCAAAGAGGAATTGTTTCAGCTTAAATCAGTCAAGAAGAGAAGTGCAAAGCCAAGTGCGGTTTGCGGAATTACATCTACAGCCGCAAAAGCAAATACAACCCACAACTAATGAAATGCGACCGCAGAAGGAGCTTTGAAGATTCAAAGAATTTTGATTAAAGTGCGGTTCGCAAACCAAAAAGTGCGATCGCATTTGAGGTTCACACTGTCAAGACTGAAAGATCAGATAAGGTGCAATAGAACAAGGTTGAAGTCTCTTCAAAGTGTGGTCCGCAACAATTTGGTACGGTCGTAGAAGCTGAAGTGCGATCGTAAAAGCTTATGCGTGGCCGCAGAATTTCCTGAACTGAAAGCACTTGCAAGAGAAACCTACCAAAGTGCGGACCGCAAATGTAATTGTGCGGCCGCAGAACCCTCTGAAGGGATTTTTTATCAGAAAATTCAGAGCACTATAAATAGATGAGAAACACTTTTTAGGGCAACTTTTGTACTGTAATAGAAGCTAGCGGTTATCTTTGGCTATTTTGGGCAACTTGGGACTACAATTAGAGAAGTTCAACTAATTTTTCACTTTAATTCTAGTTTTATGTCTTTAATTACTTCTTCTTTTCATCTTTCTATGTCAATTACTATGAGTAGCTAGATTTTATCTAGTGTAGTGATCTAACCCTAGTGTGTAAAACTTATGGGTGTTTAATATTAATGCTTGATATTGATTGAGTTGATGTTATTTAGCCTTTTTTATGCTTTATAGTTAAAATTAATGGTTGCAAATATTGATTAATGCCTATTTGACTTTGTTCTTACTTAAGAAAGAGGAATTTAGTCTAGAAAAACTTGGCTAATAAGAAATTAAACTAGTTGAAGTTTTAATTTGTTTGGTTAAAAGGTTTGAACTAGAGATAGGGATAATCCAACTTGGACTCACATTCAACTGTTTTGTTTGCTACCCATTTTGTCTTGAGAAAGCCAATTTGGGCACAATCACTCTTTAACCGAGTGGGTACTTGAGCATTGAGAGTCATAAAAAACCCCTGATCTACCAAGCAAGCATAAATTTACTCTACTCATTAGGTTTACACTTGGGTTAACATTTCAACCATTATTTGCTCATCAGTTAGTTAAATCTCATAGTAGCTAATTCAGATAACAATTACACACTTTTGTTTAATAGCTAAATTTAGTTATTTCGAGTTTCTTTCTTGAGTGTTTACCTCAACATCCTTTTAAACTCATTGTGGATTCGACCTCGACTCGAGTTGGGTTTTAATATTATAATGACTGTTTCATATATTTAAATTGGGGTGTGAATTGGACATGATCAATTTTTGGCACTGTCGCCGGGGAGTTTACGGTGTTAGCTATTTAGGTGAGTTTGTTTCTTGAAATATATTATTTAACTTTTGTGATTATAATTTGTTAAAGTGATTGTAAGTTCCAAATAGCGAACATCAAACATGGAAACTTTCCATTGGGAGAGGTGGATGGCAAGGAGGAGCAACTTGATGAAATACCTCAAGCCCCACAGCAAAACCGCCGAGGTTGTGGGCAACAAGACAACGTGCCTCCACCTCCCCCGCCTCCACCACCACTATAACCACAAGCGGTGCAGCATCAAATTTTGCCAAATGAAGGCTATGCAAGTACCATGGTCGCCCCTCGCATTAGGACGAAAAACTTTCAAATTACCAATGTGATGCTTACTTTGCTCGAGCAACGAGGTTATTTCCCTGGGGCGCCGACTCAAAATGTGTACAAGCATTTAAAAGGTTTTGTGGATACGTGTTGGGGGAGCAAATAAATAAATATTTCGAAAGATGATTTGCGGTTAAGGATTTTTCCTTTCTCACTAAGGGGTAAGGCTTTGGATTTGTTGGAATGCTTGCCTAATCATTATATTCATACATGGGATGAATTGGAGGCAAAGTTTATTTCAAAGTTCTTCTCTCTCGGACACATGACTCCTCTACGGGATGAAATATTGGCTTAGCACAGTTCAAGTTCTTCAAACAACAAAATGGGTCGTATTGAGAACATGTTCAAAAAAATGATGGAAAAGAATGCGAATTCGGATGCCCAACTTGCCTCACATACCACGTCAATCCATAATCTTGAAGTTCAAATGGGGAAAATCTCTCAAGCTCTTAATACTCGTCCTAAGTGTGTATTATCAAGTGACACGGTAGTGAACTCAAAAGGTGGTAACAATATGAGACATGCTATGGCAGTTATCACAAGAAGTGGAAGAGGAGGGGATGCACCCCATCTCAAATAAAAATCAACCTGTAAAATATGACCAAGTTATCCAAGAGGAGAAAATCCCACGAAATAATGTTTAAGTATATGATGTTGTTCGAATTGATATTGATGATGGTGTGGAGGAGACTCAAGAAGAGGTGAACCCGTCTAGAGAATACATTATTGACATACTGGAACAGGTAGTGCACAAAGCTAAGGCACCCTTGCCAAAGCCTCCACCTCCCTATCCTCAAAAGCTTGCTAAAAAAAATAGTGAGAATCAATTCAAGAAGTTCATTCAAATGATGAAAGGTATCTCTATCAACATTCCATTGGTGGAAGATTTGGAACAAATACCCGGTTATGCCAAGTTTATGAAAGATCTTGTGAACAAGAAGAGGTTGATGAATTTTGAAACTATCAAGGTTACTCATCAAGTGAGTGCAATTATTCATTCCATGGCTCTTATGTTGGAGGATCCCAATGCTTTTATAATTCCTTGTACCATTGGAAGTGCCGATTTTGCTAAAGCCCTTTATGATCTCGGGGCGAGTATCAATTTTATGCCCTATTCAATATTCAAAACTTTGGTGATTGGGAAACCAAAACCCACATCTATGAGGTTGCTAATGGCTGATTGCACCACGAAGAGGCCATTGGGAGTGATTAAGGATGTTTTGGTTTGGGTTGATAAATTTATTCTTCTAACGGATTTTGTGATTCTAGATTCTGAAGTTGACTATAAAGTGCCTATCATTCTTGGGAGGCCTTTCCTTGCTACGGGTAAGTCCCTTTGTAATGTGAAAGCCGGAGAATTCACTTTCTGGGCTTGTGATGAACAAGTGGTATTCCATGTGAAACGACAACCAAATAGTAACGAGGTGTGCATTTTTGTGGACTTAGTGACCGGTGTCAATATTGATAACACAAGTGCTATAATCACTGTTGGGGATACGTTGGAAGCCATTTTTCTTATCTTGGACAATGATGAGATGGACGGTTTCATGAAATGTGTGAATTCATTGCAAGGAATGGGATCTTACAACTATGCACCCATAAAGTTCTCATTGGATCTTAAGAATAGGAAGACTCTTCCTATAAAGCCTTCGATTGAAGAGCCACCATCCATGGAGTTGAAACCATTGTCACCTCACCTTTGGTATGAATTCCTTGGCCTTTGTTCTACTTTACCAGTTATTCTCTCATCTTGTTTGACTAATGTGCAGGTAGATTCCACATTGGCGGTGTTGCAAAAGAGGAAGAAAGCTATTGGGTGGACTTTGGCAGATATTCGATGTATAAGCCCTGCATTTTGCATGCATAAGATCAAATTGGAGGATGGTTCAATAACTGCCCATTGAACATCAAAGAAGACTCAATGAAGCTATGTAAGAGGTGGTAAAAAATGAGATTATCAAGTTGTTGGATGCCGGGGTTGTCTACCCCATTTTCGATAGTTCATGAACTTCTCTGATCCAATGTTTGCCAAAGAAGGGGGCATGACGATTATTACCAATGATAATAATGAGTTGATTCCTATAAGAACAGTCACCGGTTAGAGAGTTTTTATGGATTATTGTAAGCTCAACAAAGTCACAAGGAAGGATCACTTTCCTCTCCCTTTCATGGATCAAATGCTTGATAGGTTGGCCGGGCGTGCCTTTTATTTCTTCCTTTATTGTTACTCGGAATACAACCAAATTCTCATTTCTCCTGAAGATCAAGAGAAAGCCACCTTTACCTGTCTATATGATACTTTTGCTTTCAAACGAATGCCTTTGGGTTATTCAATGCGCCGACAACTTTTCAACGGTTTATGATAGATATCTTCACGGACATGGAGGAAGAATACCTTGAGGTCTTCATGGATGACTTTTCGGTGGTTAAATATTCCTTTGATAATTGTCTATCAAGTTCGGACAAAGTGTTGGCTAGAAGTGAGGAAACAAATTTGGTACTCAATTGAGAGAAATGTTATTTCATGGTTGAGGAAGGCATTGTCCTTGAGCATCAAATTTCAAAGAATGGTATTGAAGTGGATAAGACGAAGATTGCGGTTATTTCTATTATTCCACCTCCCACCTCGGTGAAGGGTGTGCGGAGTTTTTTGGGCCATGCGGGATTCTAATAGTGATTTATCAAAGCTTTTTCTAAAGTGGTGAACCCTCTGTGCAAACTCCTTGAGAAGGATGCCAAGTTTCATTTTAATGATGATTGTATGAGAGATTTTGAATAATTGAAGCTCAAGTTTACAACTTCACCTATCATTACATCACCAAATTGGAGTTTGTCGTTCGAACTCATGTGTGATGCAACTGATGCAGCGGTTGGGGCGGTTTTGGGGGCAATGTATTAACAACGTTTTTCATCCGATTTATTATGCTAGTAAGACCATGGTGCGCAAGTCAATTATACTGTTACGGAGAAGGAGCTCCTTGCTATTGTGTTTTCTATTGAGAAGTTCCGCCCGTACTTGATGGGTGCCAAAGTTATTATTCACACGGATCATGCAACGCTTCACTATCTTATGAGCAAAAAAGAATCTAAAGCTTGATTGATGAGAGGGAAGTGAAAATCAAATGGCGGGCCACCAGTCTCGTTTGGAGGAGGAGGGGAGGCCACATGATGGCCTTGAGATCAATGACTCTTTCCCCGATGAGTAGCTTTTGGAACTTTCAATGAAATAGGTACCATGGTTCATGGATTTTGAAAATTTCTGGAGAGTGGTATAATTCCGGATGAGTTCTCTTCAAACCAGAGAAAGAAGCTCAAGAGAGATTGTCAAGACTACTATTGGGATGAACCATACCTTTTCCAAATTTGCACAGATGGGGTAATTAGAAGATGTGTGCCAAAAGAGGAACAAAGTGATATTCTTGGGGCTTGTTATTCTTCACCCTATGGTGGTCATCATGGTGGAGCAAGAACGGCGGCTAAAGTCCTTAGTTGTGGTTTCTATTGGCCTACACTTTACAAAGATGCAAATGAGTTGGTGAAAAGATATGATGAATGTCAACGGGCCAGTGGAATTTCAAAAAAACATGAGATGCCCCTCACAACCATTTTGGAGATTGATATCTTTGATTATTGGTGTATTGACTTTATGGGCCCTTTCGTGAGTTCTTGTGGAAATAACTACAATTTGATCGCGGTGGATTATGTGTCTAAATGGGTTGAAGCCGTTGCTTTATCCAACAATGAGACTAGAAGTGTGGTTGCTTTCTTGAAGAGGAATATTTTTACAAGATTTGGGACTACGCGGGCAATCATAAGTGATAGAGGGTCATATTTTTGCAACAAGACTTTTGCAACTTTACTTGGAAAGTATGGTGTCACTCACAAAGTGACAGCCCTATCACTCACAAGGTAGTGGTCAAGTAAAAGTTTCCAATTACGAAATAAAGAGTATTTTGTCCAAGACGATGAATGCAAATCGAAGGGATTAGACTAAGAAGCTTGATGATGCTCTATGGGATATAGAACGGCTTACAAAGCACCTATCATAATGTATCCATACCAGTTGGTGTTCGGAAAAGCTTGTCATCTTCCCGTGGAATTAGAGCACAAGGCAATGTAGGCCTTGCGGATTGCACATTTGAATGAATTAGATGAATTTCGGTACCATGCATATGACGTCCTTGTATAGGGAAAGATGAAATACCTTCATGATAGGTATATTTCGAACAAGGAATTCAAGGCCGTAGATCTAGTGTTGTTTTTCAACTCAAAGATGAGAATATTTCCCGGGAAGCTCAAGTCAAAGAGGAGTGGTCCATTTGAAATTATTGGTGTGACACCCTTTAGTGCTTTGGACTTGAAGAACAAGAACAATAAAATATTCTGAGTCAATGATCATACGGGCGAAGCACTACTTGGGAAAAGTTGGTGAGAACTGCATGGTGGTGGTTCTTTACTTCATTTGAGGATGCTATGATATTGCGTCATGCTACGACGTTAAATAAGGTGCTTCTTGGAGACAATCCATGTTCTTTTCCTTATTCTCTTTTAGTTAGATATAGTTTGCTGTTTTTAACTAGATTTGAAGTGTGTTGCATGGATTCGTGTTAGATATTGAAATGATGGCTGAAGTTATGTCTTACATGGGAAAATGCGGACCACACTTTTATTAGTACGACTGCAGTAGAAGGAATATGGACTGCAGATTATTTAGCGCGGCCGCAGATCTTACCTGTGGACTGCATTTGCCAGGATCTGCTAAGAAGCTAAATTGAAGGTCCTCTAAACTTTTCTCCCAATAATGCGGAGTGAGTTTTGTGGACCATCATAAATTATGCGGTCACAAGAGAGCATTTTCATAGAAGTCACTGAAATGAAGTATAGAGAAGTGCGGTCGCACTTGAAAAAGTGAAGACCGCACAATTGCATGCTTATCGTCCGCTCAGGTAACAAAGTGCAGACCGCACTTGGAATTATGCGTCTGCACTCACCCTTCTTTATCCTCACCATCTCCTAAGTATAAATACCACAGTAACTCCACAGTTAGCCTTTTCGCCATTTTCACTCTCAAACTGTCACTCTATGAAGTACATACGTGCTTGTACTTTGGGATCAAAATCAGCCTAGCATACTCCCTTTAATCTTATTACACTATCACACTCTGGTATGCATCACTTCAACCTTGGTGTTTTTATTTTTTGAATTTATTTTGATTTTTTTACTTCCTTTTTAGACCATCTGTGATTGCCTCCCTTCACTGTGTCTATGTGGGGTAGTTAGCATTGGGTTATTGTCAAAGCATGCTTACATAAGGTTGGGTCATTGATTATCATGCCCTTAAAATGTTACATAGTAGGATTGAAAACATAATTGCATAACCTAGTTAAAAAGACCTGTCATCCGTCACTGTTCTTCACTGTGCAGACCACTCTTGAAATTATGCGGTCCACAAACTTCTAATTTAGGTGACTTGAGGGCTGTCTAATTGTGCAGTTGCACTTTAATTGTGTGGACCACAGTTAAAATTTTATGGCCGCATAAGGAGGTCTGCAGTGACAATTAGAGAACTTCTTCTCTGAAGATCCGAGTTCTTTTACTCAAGTGCGAACTGCACTTGAAATTATGCAGACCGCATGTGGATTTTTGCGGCCGTAGATGCAGGTCCGCACTGTCTATCAGAGACTTCTCTCTGAGGACTTGGCATAGCTGTGCAGGAGTGCGGCTGCACTTGGATTTGTGCGGATCGCACATGACCATTGGTCTACTTCATGCTACTAACTTGAAACACTAATTCTTCTATGGTGTCCTACAATGCTAACATGACTCTTAATTGCTTTACAACTGGTATATCAACTGATAACTCTCTTTGTGCATACGCAAATAATGGTGCGATTAACAGGATGAGGAGAGTTATTTAAAGGAAAGGTTGCACAAGGGAAAGGTAGAGGCAGAGGTGCCATGCACCCAAGTGCACAAAAGGCTATCTCAAAGCAAACCACTACCGGCCGAGGGGAGAGGTAGAAGCCTCTCAAAGTCGAGTTCTTATGTCCCGTCTAGAGAAGTTGTCACGACCCAAATCCTATAATAGGTCATGACGGCGCCCAATGATATTGCAAGGAAAGTCACCGCGTGAACCTCCACTTAGTTATCCATTTTCAATTCTTAAAAATCAGAAATTTCACCTAATAAATAGAATTAAATCTAGCACTCATAGAAACATGTACTTTTCTTTACCAAACTTTCGAGTATAAACAAATCATAAAGTGAAGTGATAATAATAATATTAAATACAACTATGACCATGCACTAGAAGTCTCCAAAGACCCGGTATCACAAGTGCATGAGCATCTATTGGAATATACAATACTACTACAATAACTGTCCGAAATATACAAATAGACAAGATAAAATAAATGAATATGATGGAGAATCTGTGTACTTTTGATTGTAGCATGGAATGTATCTCACCATAAACTCCCCTCAGTAGCTCCGCCTATGCGCCAAGATGATCACCAAATAAACCTACCTCAGTACCTGCATAATTAGTGCAGAAGTGTAGCATGAATACGTAAATCAACGCGTACCCAGTAAGTATCTAGCCTAATCTCGGAGAAGTAGTGACGAGGGGTCGACATCGACACTTACTAGTGGTCGAATAAATCAGGTGCAATGAAAGTAAACAGATATGGGGCATAGTAGGTAAAATAACGAAACAGATATAAGTGCATAATATGATCTCAACAGAAGAATAAACATGAGGTCTTCAATAACTGGATACTACCTCGAATGGAATGCATAATGGCTAACACTAGATTAAAGGTCATATCTCAAGTCAAGAAAACTCATGGGTACAATGACTTCTTATCAAATATTTCACATAATTCTGCCAAAGCGAGCAGTCCGATCCCATAAGAGTGTTTCATAGAACTGCCAAGGTGAACGACCCAATCCCATAAGAGTGTGTTACAATATCATGCCGAGGTGAACGATCCGATCCCATAAGAGTGTTTCATAGAACTGCTAAGGCGATTGACCCGATCCCATAAGAATGTGTTAAAATATCATGCCGAGGTGAACTGTCCGATCCCATAAGAATATGTATTACAATAATCCTTCCGAGGCAAACAGACTGATCCCAAAAGAATATATTGCTCTGCCGAGGCAAATGGCCCGATCCCATAAGAATACTGCTGAGGCGTTCTGCTCAATCCCATTAGAATATGAAACTTTAACGTTTCCTTGACCCCACTCACGAATATACGTGTGAGTTATGAAATTCAAGAAAACTTTTCGATGAAAATGCACAAGACAGGAGAAATCCGTAAGGGAAGTTCAATTTCAACGGCTAATCTAGTAGCTCGTCAAGTATCTAAAAAAAAAGTAAGTCCATTACTCTAAGCAAGTCTAGTCTCAGGTTATAATGTGAATTAAAGCATTTAAATAGGCAAGAATAACTCAAATAGTATAATTAAAGTATGGTGTGAGTCTAAGTCTACATAGACATAATCAAGAATCCAAGCATATGCACGGACACTCGTCACCTCATACGTGCGTAGCTCCCATAACATGTAGCACATAGCAAATATAACACCTACATGATAAATTTCCCTCTTACAAAGTTAGATAGGAGACTTACCTCGCTCCGAATTCCGATAACCGGCTCCAACGCCTCTCTAATTCCTCAACCCGATGACAAATGATCTGAAACTAGCCAACCAATGTGCAAACCAATCAAAATATACTCAAAGACTCGTAATTGAACAATTTATAAAAATTTCTAACTCCGTTCAAAAAGTCAACAAAGTCAACCACCTCGCCCAAGCACCCAGATTCCGAAAATTGTCGAAGATAAATATTACCCATAACACCCTCGAACTCAAATATATAATTTTTTGTAATTCCATGTCAAATTTTAGGGTCATAATAAAAAAATACCATTTCCAGTGTTTCTTTCAAAATCCCATAATTTCTACCAATTTTTATGTTAAATCCATATATAACTCATGTATTTAGCTCACAATGTGTAGAAATCGCTTACCTTGTGATGAATGATGAAAAGGACCCTTCAAAATCGCCCCAAAAATGGCTCCAACGGAAGAAACTAGATGAAATGAGCCAAATCCCAATTTTGCAAACTTATACACTGGCCAGGCAGCCCTTCATCGCGAACGCGGCATGTCCCCCGCATTTACGAAGCACACCCAGCTCCTGCTCTAAATACTTCTTCGTGAACACCAGACAAGGTTCGTGAGCACGGTGCTTCACCAGGCTGCCCTACCGCAAAC